TTTCACTGCTAGATGCCACTAAATCTTACACACTGGTCCTTTAAGGCTAGTATTGGCTATAGTCTTTATTCCAAATAAAATTGTGAAACAGTGTGTTTGAGTCGTTGATTTTATTCCTCTTGCCCACTGGCATGGAAAATAAAAAAGTATTATTGAGAAAGATACTTTAACTCACTTATGACTCCTTTTTGAATGGGCATCCAGGCCAGTCCTGATGAATACAACTGTGCCTGACTCTTTAAATATTTATTTATGCAATTTGATTTCGGGTGTTAGTCCCGGGGTTTGGAATACCCCCAAGATCATGCTCCTAAATGCCACCATCCCTGGTACTGCCCATTCTTATGTACTAGATTTCAAAACTACCAAAAAAGAGCATGGAAACGTGACGATGTGCATAATAAAAATTCAGACTATGCTCCAGTAAGATAACATGCATGTAAACACACACCTACAGGAACTTCTTTGCATGTAAACAGTTGTCCCAGTCCAGCATTCAAACTATTTTCCACTTCACAGCCTGGATGACATTCCTGCTCTCACACACCCCCTCTTATGTCCAAGCTCAGACTGTCCACACTAAGAAGGCTGCATCGGAAAGATTAAAACAACAGGAGTGTATGCTCAATCGCAAAAATAAAAGTAAAACGGGCAACTGTTATTCCTGAGCTACAGTACTGAGATATTTATCTCTTTAAGAAATTATATTTAACAGCTAGTTCTGGTTAAAGAGCCTGAAATAAATCTGAAATAACAAACAATAGCATTAAATGGAAAGACTCCGAAGCATGCTCCAGCACACAAAGGACTGAGCGTGGCCTGAGCTAGGCCTCTTAGCAGTTCAGGTGTGTCTTGTTAGGTTGAGGGGAAGGCCCCATCCACCTCTGACCAGACAGGATTGTGGATTTTTTGACACTGGCATTTAAAGGGTGCTCATTGCTGGCGTTTAAATAAATAAAAAATAAATAAATACAAAAAGATGCTCAAAAAAGAGGGCTAGAAGCAACACAAAGTTGTCTTTCCTCACATTACAGCTTAACAGTCAACAACTGTGTGTAAGAAGATATATGCTAATGTTTTCCAAAAGCTTTCTCCCTGTCCACACAACAACAGATACAAATTTAGTCATTTTGGAAAGTTTTTGACATAAACAAAAAAACAACAACAAACAAATGGATTACAAAATTACTTTTGTGGTCACCTCCCTACTAATTCGATATCCAACAAACCAATCACATCCTTCCATTCATTTTTGTCATTGTGGAGGAAACTAGTTTGGAAGAGGAAACACTTACATTCACTAGCTGAAAATATTCCCATTATTTTAATTTTAACAAACACAACTGTATTTTAATTCTCATAAGTCTGAATTTTGGGAGACAGGACACAATTACCAATTTTGTGGGGAGTATCAGAAAAGTAATATAACTAGTAGTGCAACCAATTACTGTTGGCAGGGAGTAATAAGTAAAGTAATAGTACTTTCTGAAATGAGTAATGAGTAATAAATTAAATTTTTATAGTAACAAGCCGAACACTGGTTAAGATCAACAATATGAATTACTGTATAGTGTGAATGTTTGAGAGAATGTGATGACTGCTGCTCTGGTCTTGTCTTTGAGACATCAGGAAGGATACAGGCTGCACTCAGTGTACAGTGTACATACAGTAACTGTAATGTATAAACCAAAATTAAAACCTGGAGAGCTGATTGCAACAAGGACTAATAGATCTAAAATCAGATCCCATCTTTACCCTTTAAAATGTATGTTTTTCTCCAGGCATTCATCATGTTAGTATCCCTTTCCTTCCACTACCATGTTAGTGAGAGAAACTATGGTGGCCGTGGAAAGGCCCGATCTACAGCTAGTGTTTGGTTTGTCTGTTCCGGGCTAATGTAGAAACTGTACTGTAGACACCATGTAAGACCGGCTCCCTCTGTAGATAAAAACAGCTCTTTCTAAAGTAACAAAAACACAATGGTTCTTATTTTCAGGTGATTATACACTAATGAAAACATACTTATGAATATTATAATTAGAATATAATTCTATTTGTACCAGAAGATAGAAGAAATTTTACACACTGAACCTGTAAGGTCTGCAAAGTTATTCATCTAGCCTGCCTCTCCAACCAGATTTGGATTAATGAATGTGTCTGGTTCTTGATTCTTTGTGTTATCATTCTATTTCTTTTCTCAACAACTTGTTTGCAAAACTAAACAAATAAAGACGCTTTCTGAAAAGCCATCATCAGGTTAGAAGACCTGTATTCATTAGGATTAGTTTTGTACGTTTTTTTCCACAGAAGCACAGAACCTGTATTGTTTAACGATCTCTGAACTTTTGTGCGTCTAAACATGAGGTGGTAACGAGTGACAATGCAGAGAGAGTGCTAATTCATGCTCCTATCCGTATGTTCTTATAAGTCAGTGACTGTGTGAGAGGCCCTGGAGGGATAACTGTACAGGCCACCAGCATCAGCTCCCTCACATGCGACTGTTCACACCCCTGCCGTACTGACCAGAGGGGTAAACAAATGACTTGTGTATATAAACATGCGCACACATACGCACGCACGCACACAAACACACATGGGAGCGTGATCAACACCATGGCAGACTATCAAGATCCTGCAGGGAAAGGCAGATGGTTTTAATAATAAATGGTATCATTGATCCTCTCTCAGTCCTCAGAGATGGAGGGGAACTGAGGGAAGGAACAGCTGACAAACCAGCACACACACACACACACACACACACACACACACACACACACACACACACACACACAATCTGTGCCACTCTAAACTAATGACACAAATCTATAAAAGTATTAAATTGCTAGATCTAAATATTATTAAGCTGCAACTTGTTCTATGATTTCAGCTGCTGATGAAAAGCATCCTGTTAGGGTGACCAAATATTTTGATTCAGTCCGAGGACTCGCATTGTGCCAATTCTCTTCCATATAAGGACCAAAGGAGACAATATGCCAAAAATTAATGAAATGTGAGAAATAAAGAGCCAGCATGGGAGTGGTAGAGCCTCTACAAAGCCTGAAAAAAGAATTATAATCAAGAAAAAAAACAACCACAAATGTCAAAAAATGCCAGTTTCTTAAAAGTTTACCAAAATCTAATTGTATAAAACGAAGGTTATAATCACAGACTTTTTTATTTTGTAAAAATAGTTCACATCCTATTCAGGCCTGAACGGGTTAATCTATTCTGAGGGTCTGATGACACGATCATCTGCTACACAACTTCTTAACAAAACACAGCTATATCCTCTGGGGTTCGATCATAAATACGAAGAAGTATCTGTTCACATGCTCCCTCATGACAAGACATGTACACAACTCCACAAGTTTATGATCTTTATACCGAGGGTCTGATTCCCCGAACACTGAATTAAAACTGCAGAACAGGACAGTCTGTTTTTACACCAACTTATTAATACCTATTTATTTGGTTTTATAAGTTAAGATCATCTCCCGTGTTGATGTATTGAGCTGTTTAATAAAAACGATTTTTGTGTGTGAAAGTTCATTCTTGACCTTTTCCTTACTCAAGGTCTTCTTATGAGCTTTTCTTTGTCGTGCAGATAGCTCACTTCATCCACTGAGGAAGACCTTGAGATGCATTTTTTCTTCATATTATATTTATTAATTTAGTTAAATTGTTTTACATGCAGCCTCTCCCATGATGAATGTGATGAGCTACTAAATAACTAACTTGTTTTTTACATTAATAGATGATTATGTAAGGTGCCTCCCATGCTAAATCAGACAATGCCTCCCTGTTTGTTAAGTTTTAGCCTCGAAGCAAACCTCGGGTTGCCATATGAAAGCACAATAATAGTTCCTTATTTTGCTACGGTGTAACAGAGGAGCTGCCAGGGCCATAAATTGTCCAGTGGGGTTAAGCGGATTTAAGGGATGAACACAAGTTGTCAAACCTCAGATGATTCTTTGACCTTTGGCACTCTGAGGCAGTGCTTTTCTGCTTAAGGACTAACCAATTGGATGCACATTTTTGCTCATTTGACACTGTTTTCTGTTTCTGGGAGACTTTGCCTGGAGCTGCAGGGCTATAATAAACACAAGTCTGAAAACAAAGCTTTTGTTAAAGCACACATTTTAGACTATACAGCCTGATGAAATACCTACAGTGCTTCCACATTGCATAGAGAAGGGAAATAAATGAGGAGGTCAAAACTTCAGCAACACATGTAAGTTCATTTTTACTGTAACAGCCCCTGTTTAGCATTTATATAAACATATAATACATGATTTATTACACAGTATAATGTAGTTGTCAGCAGATATTCATATATTTGTTCACAACTGTTCCTGTGAGGGCCCATAAGTAGAGGCTGCTGTATAAACAGATACTGAATGACAATATAGTAAAACACAGATGTTATAATATAAAAAGTCTTCATATGAGACGTTAGGATTGTTCAGTGTCCTTATATCTGCTCACACCTACAGTACAGTGTGGTATAAACAGTAAAGTGACCTCTTTAGAGAAAGAAATGGCAGAATCCTGCAAAGGTACAACTGGACATGCATGTGTTGTGTTGCTGACAGTCAAAAAAGTCAGGTCTATGACTTAATAGCATTTTTATGAATACATTCTGTGAGCCCATCTGTCATTTATCACATGCACCTTTGGGGAATAAATCTTGAAACAATGCGAGAAGCACAGCATGTACCAGCTCTTTCACTAAAGCCACCGCTGTCTCATTATATGTACACCATGAAAGTGTCCTCACTGTGGGCGCACTGATGGCTGTGTGCGGGCAGGGGCTGCTGAAGCCACTGACTGACAGGAGACTGGATCAACTGGAGGTGTGTAATTAAAGCAGCCGATCAGAAGGCTCGGGCCTCCTCCGGTAACAAACAAACAAACCAATGGGCCTCCTCACGTGCGGTTTCCCCACTCACGACCCCGGTGATGATGCTGTGCCTGCCCCCCACCCTCCCTCTGCACCGTACCTTGACGCTGGTGTGGCTGGTCTGCGTCTCGGCCTCGATGCGGATGTGTCCTCCGCTGTTCTCCTTGCGATCCCGGTACGAGTTGTTGCGCGAGTGCCGGTTCTGGTAGGTGATGACGGAGGGGATGGTCTCAGCCGCGTCGGTCTTGATGAAGAGCCCGTGCAGCGTGGCCGCGGTGCCCTGAGAGATGGTGGTGGTCTGGTGGGGGGAGTTGGATTCGTCTGAGTCTCGGCAGTAGATCACCCCGCTCTGAGAGACGTGGATACTGGGAGCGCAGCCCATGCCTCGGCCGACGCGCCTCCGGACTCGGATCCCGGATAATAAACACCGACACTTGGGTACCACCTTCCTGTCGTCCACAGCTGCCTGCACACAGGCTGCTGTTTTCTCCGGGCATCGGCTGCGGGCTCAAATCGCTCTCTCCTCCACACACCTCCGTTTGAGCACATGAAGGAGGAGGGGGTGGGGTGGTGGGAAACGTGAGGTGTTGGTGATTGTTTAATTCACGCGTCCCGTGAATCCGGTTCCTCCTCAGCCTCCGCTATTGCAGGATCTTGGATTTCGATATCATATTGAGGACGAAAAGGTGTTTCAGGCTGCAGTGTAAACCTTGCTGATGGCCTGTACCACCCGCTAGCGCATCTATGAAATGACCCGAACTAATGAATAAGATTAATAAATGGACTAAACCACCTGGCGGCTGTTTATCACCTCTCTCTTCATATCCGGCTCTGTATCTCCGCTCATCCTCTGTGACATGCTCGCATTTTAGGCCTGTGGAGAGTAACTGGGTCTATGAAATCTCCTCTGTGTCTCTACTTTAGTTATTCTGCTTGCAGATGATTGGCCACGGTCCATCCCTCTCTCTCTCTCTCTCTCTCTCTCTCTCTCTCTCTCTGTGTGTGTGTGTGTCTCTCTCTCTCTCTCTCTCTCTCTCTCTCTCTCTCTACACCACACTGACATTATATCACTTCCATCTCTCCATCACGACCCTCTAATCTCCCCAGAGGCAATGTCCCTGACTCCAGGGGTCATTTAAAGCCTCACTATGATGAATTAGACATAATGCTATCAGAGTAATGGAGGCTTGATGAAAAACCACCTCCTCTTTGAGCTCATTGATAAAGATACTTAGATATAATCTTATCTGTTTTGTCAAAAGTGTGCAGCAGTCAGTGTGTGTTTTGTTGTGGAGGATCAGGCTGACCTCTGACATCTGACCTTTGGCGGTGCAGTTATGAAAGCAGACATCAGCTCCAAGGTTGTATAAACATGACAAGAGCTGCAGCTGATGAATGGATTCTTTTTAATATAGATTTATCTGTCGGTTATTTTCTTGATATATCGATAGAGAACGATATAGGTCCGTTCTATAAAGTGTCAGCAAGTTGTAAGAAATTGAACAGATCCAACACGAGCAGAGAATTTGAATTTATTATATTGTGTACCAGAGGTGTTTACAATGTCCAAATGCCCATAACAACTTCCCCAACCCCAAGTCGATGTCTTCAAATAGCTTGTTCTGTCTGACCAACAGTCCAACACTCAAAGATATTCAACTACCTATCAAATATGACAAAGACAAGTACACAATCCTCACAAGTGAGCAGCTGGAAGCAGAGAAATGTTGGCATTTTTAAAAATAACTTCAACAATGAATCAATAATAGAATGATCATTACCAAAAACTATGACGCTTCAAGGAGTAAACATATACTGTATGTAGTTACACATTGTAAAAACAAAAGGAACAGAAACAAAAAGAGTGGACAGTGACAGCAACAGGCAAATACAATATAATAAAAAGTAAATAAAGTAAAAAATAAACAACAACAAAAATGTCATAATTACTGCAAAAGAAGCCTTAAAAGTGGTTGGTTCAAAATGTGACAATTTTTCGTTCTTTGTCATTTATCATTGAAAATTAAATATCTTTGTGTTTTAGACATGCCGCTTTAGGCTCTGGGAATTTTTTGTCATTTCACAGATTAAACGATTAACTGATTTATCAAAAAATGCCTGAACGATTGTTAGATAATCGAAATAATCGTTAGTGGCAGCCCTGCTTGCATTTACCTGTAATCTGTTCCTCTCATCGTTAATACAAAGGCAAACTCATGCATATGTAACAAGGGGTGTAGTGGTAAATACAGAGGAGGGTAAACTCTCAGTACCTTGTTTCCTCTCATGGATCTATAGAGATGACCTGAAAATATATCAGCCTCCTTTCAAAGATGTGGATAAACCCACTACGCCAGTGGTAACAACACCTATCAGCTTGATCTCCTGTCAAACACGGTATGGAACAGGGTCATCTAAATATCTCAGCACAGAAAAAAAGACTGGAGATTGGAGAGTAACTGGCTCTGTGAAACCTCCTCTGTCTCTCTACTTTGGTTATTCTGCTTGCCGGTGATTGACCACAGTCCATCCCCCTCTCTCTCTGTCTCTCTCTCAGCGTGTGTGTGTCTCTCTCTACACCACACTGACATTATATCACTTCCATCTCTCCATCACGACCCTCTAATCTCCCCAGAGGCAATGCCCCTGACTCCAGGGGTCATTTTAAAGCCTCACTATGCTGAATTAGACATAATGCTATCAGAGTAATGGAGGCTTGATGAAAAACCACCTCCTCTTTGAGCTCATTGATAAAGATACTCAGATATGATTTTATTTGTTTTGCCAAAAAGTGTGCAGCAGTCAGAGCGTGTTTTGTTGTGGAGGATCACATGATGATTCAGCCTGACCTCTGACATCTGACCTTTGGCGTTGCAGTCATAAGAGCGAGACATCAGCACAGAAAAAAAAAAACAAAAGCACAGATTTCTCCTCTGTGGGAACTTGAAGGCCAAGTAGTCGTCATTTCATTTCCTTCATTCACTCAGGCAACTGCTAAATGATGACCCCGTTCATGAGCCGTTGTGTTTATGAAACCTCAGATAGATAGGCTTCACAGTGCTGTGTGTGGTGGCCAATAGTGTGGCCAGGCCACAGTCTGGGGTGGTTGCTGGCCACCATTTGGCTTCACCATTGCTCCAGCTTTTTCTTTTCTATTCAAAACCGATATAGTCAATATTTTTCTATCAACATTGATCACATGACAGGAATGTGAAAAGCGGTCACTTGCAGGGACGAACTCACAAGAGAATAATCTCTTGACTCTGCAGTTCAGCTCTACAGAGTGCGTTAGCATATTTCAGCTCGCTGTTTTAAACTCATTCACAGCCCACAACTTTACTGTTTTGGTCTCAGCGCTCTCACAATGTTGTTTTCATCCACAGCAGGCAGCTAAAAGCTCTGAAGAACCCAATGTACACTACCTGCCCAGCACCAAACGGCACATACACACAGTTAGAAACTAGCTGGCGGATCATTTAAGAGCCAAATATTTCCCTCAGGTGTTTATCAGTTGGCCAGAAATACAACTCTAAAGGAATGCTAATGTTGCTCTGTATCTGCTGGATGTGTAATTAGCACTACACTACACTACACAGCAACTTAAAAAGCTTTAAATGTGTTGTGTTTACAGCCTGTTTCTGCTGCAAAACCTCTGTTAATGCCAGTTTAAATGTGTTTGATTGAACATTAAATATGCAGTCATAAATGTTTTTAAATTGTTAAAAAAGGTTATTAACCAGTTGTACATTATTTAATACGTCTAAACCCTTTAGAAAGCATCCATTATCATAAAGCCGTACTTGAATGATCTAGTACCTAACTTTAGAGCTGTTAAATATCTCCTCTACGTCACAGAGAACACTGGATCATACCTCTCAGTATAGACCCAGTTCCTCTGTCAGTACATTAAAGTTTATATTGGAGTATACACAAGATTATTATACAATGTTTTCTACCCTGAAACAAGTAAAGAGAAGTACTTTAACACTGCATGTGAGAGCAGGCCCAGTGGCGACTGTCCAGGTTGGGATTTTAGTGAAGCATATGATTTCAGTGAGTGACACTGAAAAGACTCAGAATCACTTCATCCACAGTTTAGCCACATGGACCACATAATCATACAAAGTGCTGATTTATTGACTTTTGGGGAAAGTAGTTCCAACACTTTCTATGACTCCAGTGTACAAAGCGAAAGAGGAAAAAGCCACAAAAGGAGCTGCTGTTAAAAGACAATTATTAGAATAGATAATAATTAGAATAAGAAAGGAACTAAGTACATTCAAGTACTGTACTTAAATACAAATCTGAGGCACTTAACTACTTAAGTATGGTCATTTTGTGCTACTTTATACTTCTCCATTACATTTCTGATGGAAATATTGTACTTTTTACATCTATAGATACTTTAAAAAATAATATTTTGAATACAGGACATATGATGTGCTTTTAAAATATGAGTCATTATAATGTATTAGTCCTCAGTTGTATGTAAAACAGTTAAAATCCGCTCCACCTCGACCAGCTACAACAGTAAAAGCTGAGCACACATAATAATACTCCAATAATATAATAGTGTAACACTGACAAGCCTATTCTTCTGTAGTGAGTACTTTACTTACTTTTGCTTAGAGACCTTGTCAATGCAGGAATGTTACTTATAATAAAGTATTTTTGCTGCTTTTAGTTAAGTAAATTACATAAATACTTGTTTCACCTTCACCTTTAAGTATAAACTATTGCCTATGGGTATTTGTGCTGGTGAGTATATTGTGTGCAAGCAGAATTAAATAATTAAATATGTCGTGTTGAGCTGCAGACAGCCCCCTGGTGGCAGGCCTCACACATGTTCAACTGGTGCTCAGATTAAAGCTCACCAGCACCTCATAAAACCAGCATATCCAGCCTGAGCTGTACAGTCAGATATAAGTACATTGTCCTCAGTTCACCATCATATTATTCCCACATCATTCTTTAAACATCCAGATTTAAGTTTGCAGCCAGCTGGCAAACCACAACTGCACAATCCAGAAGCTATAACAACAATAATGTTTAAAAATTGCACATAGACCTGCTTATTTTTTATTAAACCAACTCCCAATGTGCTTTTTCTAGAGTTATAGAGCGTTAGTTTTTGCTTTTCTTTAAGTATCTTTCAGTCTAAAGAGCCAAATTATTATTTATATCTTCAGTAATTAGGGTTTAATAGCAGTTAAAGACAACATAACAGCAGCATATATATATATATATTTATGTTGTCTATATGTATGGGTATATGTAGAGGTAATGGTGGACAACGTTGCTTGCATTAAGCTCTAGATATAGGCCTATATTTGAAGTTACAGGTAAGAAGTGTGTAGTTTGTCTGTGTAGGTGTGTTAACCTGATGACTGCGAACATGAATTATTAAAATAATATATGTATTTAAGTTTAACAAGTCGCCTTTGTTGCAGTTTTCCACTGTAAACACGAAGCAGCAGCTCCTACCTTTAGTGGTCCATTGGGAAATAAAGCACTTTCCTCTGTTGACAGTCCACTCATGTCTTTAAGCCACGACGTCCTTCAATATGAAATCAGAATAATGTGGAATATAAACGTGTACTGTTTACACTGAGCAGACACATGAAATAAAGTATCTGATAATAAGTGTGTTAATAGCTGCCGAGATACTTGGTGTCCCACAGGTAAAGACTGGAGGACAGTTAGTTAAGCTGTCGGCCCTTAAACTCAACTTTCTCCGCTCGGACCGGCAGGAGGCTCGGTGTCCGTGCGGCCCTAGTGCCCGCAGACAGAGGTGGCATATATGCCAGTAAGTACATTTACTCAAGCATTTTATGTAACTTTATACTTCTACTCCACTACATCTCAGAGGGAAATATTGTACTTTACAGCTTTATTACAGTTTTTGTGCAAATGTGTTGATTTTGAATGTTTGTGATAAACTAAAGGAAGAAAAGTTCCTTTATGGGTTGAAGAAATTATGCTACTTCTAAAG